CCTTCCTCCCTCCTTGCGGGGGCCTTGATTTGCACCCCTTGCCCCTTCCTTCTTTTCCCCCACCCCCCTCGCCCGTTCCCCTCCATAGACTTACTTTCTGGGTGCTGCTTTACAAGCCACTGAGCTGCATTCTGTAGGGTTACCACATTTTGTTTTTAAAAAGGACACCTTTTGGGGGTGGGGGGAATAATATTGGGTGGGGCAGTGATATGCCCATGTCCTGCCCCTCACTCCCCAGCCCTGCTACTGCCCCTCACTCTTGACCCACAGTACCCTGCATCCTGTCAGGGCATGTGGGGACCCCCTACCCCCTGGGCTCTAACCTCTATACACACACTCCATACCCACCCCCTAACCATAACCATACAAAGTGCCCACATAACTTTGAGCTTTTCTGTGCATAATTTTGAGTTTTTAGCTGTGTGATTAAAATTGTGATTAATTGCCACTAATTTTTTTAATTGCACAACTAATCACAATTTTTTAAATAGTTTGACAACCTTAGTTTAAATACTTATTTATAAACAAAATCTGAGAGAATTTGACTTCAAAATAGTTACCGATTTCTGAAAATGGGAACTTATTGCTACAATTTGGAAGAAATGGAAGTAGGGAGAATTGTTTTGTGTTCGTTTCTTATACCCTTCTATGCTGAACTGTAGCATGATACATTCTTACAAAATCTTAAATAAGTTATTTATTTGGGAAATCTTGATTTTTAGGTAGCTCCAGTTCTGTCTGATATTGTGCACTCGCCACCAAAATCACCTGATGAGAGATCAAACACACATACAATACCAAGTAAGGTAAGTTTGCTACACAAAAGAAATTACTAACTAAAATAATATGCCAATATGTGGTAAAATAAACTAGAAAGGACTTTTCTGTTTTAAAAAGATGGTTTATTGCAGAAGTGTTGACAGGTATTTGTCAAGAATTTTTCAGCCATTTTTTCTCAGCTGGTTTTTAAAGGACTCTCCTTCCTTATACTCTCCTTCCTTTATCCAGATCTAAATGGAAGAACCATATTAAGCATGTCAGCAGTAACAGGGGTCAAAACATTTAACCATTTCTCTTAACTTTATAGTCTTAAATGGAAGCTAGTTGTCAAGTCAGTACATGCATATACAAATATGAATAGATACATTTATGCATATATACATATGGGTGTGCTGTGAAAGGGAATTATCTCGTTATTATCAGTTTGTAGTGTATGGGAATTGCAGCCCTTTGTGATCCATAGTTTTTAAATTTAAATCTAAAACTTCATTACTAAGTATGCAAGTTAATTGTTGCACTTACGCTTTCCACAAGTGTTTTGTGTTTTTTTTGTAACAGGATGTTGTAAGGCAGTGCTTCCCAAACTTTTTTTTTTTTCCTCAGCATGACCCCATCTGCTGATTGTTGTAACCTCATTTGGGGTTGTGGCCCCCAGTTTGGGGAACTGCTGTTGTAAGGGGTTTTTGGTAAGAACTGCAGTGTGCTGTTACATATCCCTTTTGGGGGTAGGGATAGATGTCGCAATGTATTAAGCATAAATGGGAAGGGTTGATATGCTGCAGGTAGCGGTACTATATCATGAGGCATACACTGATTTGAGTAACTTGTGTAAGACTCTGTGCAGTTATTTAAAGAAGATAAAAATGATCTTGTCTGTGTTCATCCAGCTCTAGCTATCCTTTCTTCTTCATTTTAAGATGGTTGTTGTTCTTAATTTTAGTTTTAGATTGGTTTCGTTTCTCTCCTTTTATTCCAGTTCTCCAAATTGGAATGTGCATCAGGAGGTGAATGTGTACAGTGTCGTATTGCAGCAGTAGTTTCATACTTTGCTTGCTGTTCTTTCAGATCTGTGTTACTACATTCAAAGCTGCTGGATCACGTACAGCTAGACATACATCATCTTTTCTTTAAATACTGTTATTGAGAGCAGCAGAAATCAGATTAGTCTTTCATGTGATAATAAAACTGAATGTTAAAACATCTTGTGATTAAAGGCAGTGGAGGTTTAAAAAAGCAATATGGAAAAATAGGAAAAGCGGTATAGCCTAGTAGAAAAAGAGAACTAGTATAGTAAATGTTGCATAACTGGGGCAATTTGAGTTATGTCCCAATTAAATAGCTGTTTCACTTAACCTTGTGTAAGGCTATGTGTGTGTTTTTTCTGTTGCCTGGTTTTGTTGCATCCTTTTTTCTTGTTTAGAACTTAACTGTAATAAATGGACCCATTTTAAAGGGTCAAAAGATGAAAGTTGACAAACTGCATTACTGAGTGTTTCCTGGCTGTTGTGTAACAGAAAACAAAAGCAAACTGATGAACTTTTTAGGTGTTGCATAACATTTGTAATTAATGTGGTACTCAGACCAAACATTGTCCTAGCAAAGCAAGTTGTAGCAAGTATGATCCTTTTAAAGCAACAAAATACTCATTTATCTTAGTAGAGTATTGTTTTCAGGAGCTGAAGTTAGATTCCCCAATTACTCAGCCCCATTTGAGTGCCTTCAGTTGTGTATAGGAATAGCTGAACACCTATTACAACAAAACTTAAAAGCATCAGCCTAGGGCAGGGGTTCCCAAACTGTGGTACGTGTACCTGAGGGGGGTACACAGGAAAAGTTGTTTAATGGCGGGTTTAATTTTCATTATAATAATTGCTGGGTTTTTGGTTGTAGCTGTGTTTGGTTTAAGGACATAGGCAGGCAAGGTTCTTTGAGTAGATGTTGGGGGTGGGGGGGAAGTAGAACTTTTCAGCTACTCAGTTGGTCTAATAAAGTTATCACATCTACTCAAAGAACCTTGCCATTATAATAATTCATAAATATTATAATTTAAGGGGTTAAAATACAAAATGTATGCTGGTGAAGGCACATGGGCAGCTGGTAAATCTGGAAGGGGGTATGCAATAAGAAGCGGTTTTGGGGAACCTCTGGCCTATGACAAGTAGCAATTGATTTGCATGAAAGCTAGAGGAACATTAGTAAAGTGTCAGTTTTGTTTTGCAGTGTGTGGTTACCTAGTAAACTAATAATAATGTTCTCACTTCTGTAGTATCTGAAGGTATTGTTAATACTTTTGGCCAGCTAACAAGTATTATTTAATTCTATTCAGCTTCTCTATACACATTCACATCACTTGCATAATGTTTGGTCTCCATTTAAAATGCCTAAAACAAAGTAGAAGAGAACTTTATAATTATTTGTAAGTAAACAATTTTAATTTCTCAAAGTTAAGCGTACTTTAAACTTTTTTTTTTTGCGTTCAGTCTTAAGACATTTCATTGTATATGCCCTAGTTGCATTTACTTTTAACTGGTCTGAAAAAAAGTCTTTACCAGATATGAGACTTTTGATTCCTCATTCCAGTGATTCTTGTCCAAAAGTTTTAGCAGTGGTGTATCACAGTTGGAGGGTAGCCGATTTGAATTTGTATTAAAAGACCATGGGTGATTTGGAGAATTGCTTACCAGTAAGCCCTGAATCTGTACCTGATAAATTGGCTAATTAACTAAATACAGAATCAAGTTCAAAGCTGAAAAAATGTCTTGTGTCAAATGGAGTCTTCTGCAGTGCTAAACTTTGTAGCATTGCATGTAATATGTATACAGTTGCATGTAGTTCTAAAGGGGGGTCTCTTGCTTCCCCATAGTGCTCTACTTTTTCCCCTTTCCACCTCAAGGGGGAGCAAAAGTATGGTAAGCCATATGACAGCTTACTGGGGACCAACTGCAGACCAGCCAGGACTAGGGGCTGCTTGCATGTACAGCTGGGCAACATGTCAGAGTACACTGCTGGTCCTATCCATGGGGCAGCAGTGAGCACTCCTCACTATCCTCCTGCGGAGGGTGGTAAGCTGCCACAGTGCCTACTGCTGCTCCAGTCTGCTCGCTGGCCGTAGCTCTGTCATGGCATGCTGAGGCAGCAAGCTATCACAATGTGTTGCTGTGCCCAGGACAGCAGCACACACTTTGCTGGCTTTTTCCACAGGCTGGCAGCCTGCCTAATGATCTCCTTTCCCCAGCAAGGGAGAAGGCAGGCTGTCTTTGGGCGTCGGGAGCAAAACCGTTCCCTTGTTTGGAGGGCCATATCTTTTCAGCTACTTGGTATGTTTCTAGCCAGGGGCTGTGAATTTTTGCCCCCCAGCACTGTTTTTTGTTTGTTTGTTTGTTTGTTTGTTTTTGTTTTTTTGTAGTACCATAAAATGCTGCGGTACTTGTAGTGCTACAAATGCATGTCTCTGCATAGCCTCAGAATAAGGGTTAAAAACATTCTGAGATGAATTTCCAAAGATTAGCTTATTTTAAATTGGGAGGAGGGGCACTCTATGGCACACGTGCCACAAGTGACATGCACTGCCTCTTTGGTATGCAGCAGGCAGGGAAAGCAGCAGCAGTTGCTCAAGGAGGAAAGAGCAGAGCAGCAGATTGGACAGGGGAGGGGGTAGGGCTCTACCTTGTAGCACACCTGCCAAAAATTACCTTCCACTAGTTTAAAGTTTGGAATAATCTCCTATAGGGTATGGTGAAAGCTCCATTACTTGGAACAGCTTATAGAAAAAAAAAATACTTATAAAGCTATCTCTAGGTATATACTTATGCATCCAAAATCTTAAAATAAAAAAGCAGCCTGTCTCCTCTTTTGTGTTTCTTGTTGTTTTTTGTTTCTGTAGCTTGTTCTAAATATGTTTTGGGGCGGTTTTTTTGTCTGTTTTTTTTTTCCAACCTTAAATGATGACTGTTGTGTTGGCTGGTGCTATTTTGGAACAACCAGAGTGGCTTTAACATTCATCTCTCTAGTTGTATATTCAGACACTATTGATAATTTTGTGCAAATTAACATATTACGTCCATAATAAATGGAAATTAAATGACAATTTTTGCTGGTTTGAATGCTAGGCTCAGCTGACAGTTCATGTTATGTACCTTTTGTATATTATTAAATTAAAAAGCCTCAAGTTCCTCATTAAGAAGAATTGCATTCTTTACTCTAGCTCCCTTTGGCCATGTTCAAGTATTGTATTTGTACTGGGAGAATCACCACTTTCCCAGTAGAAACAACAAGCATATACACATTCACACTATTTCTCCAGGACCATAAATGGTGATTCTGGGGCAAGAAAATGGCTCAACTCCAACCCAGTAGAAAGTGTTCCTGGTGGGGTTTCTCACAGGAGAGTGAATCCTTGTACACTTTTCATGGTGTTGGTGCTAGGAGCCAAGTGGAAGAAGCAGTTCCACATGCCCACTTCTCACACCAGGGAACTCTTGTGTAAAAAGCAGGGAGGGGCTTTTCCCTACTGCTTCAGTTCTTCTAGGAACAGGAAGACTGGATCAGCTGCTGCTCCCTATGCTTTCCCCAGACAGATCACCCTGGTTTTGGGATGGTGTAAGGAGCAAGGGGGAGAGTACAGTTGCAGACTGTACTGCTCCCTCTCCAGGAATCATCTGCAGCGGTGGAAACTTTCTACTCCTAGAAACTAGTGCTATATCAACTGTTACCTGACAGATTCTATTTAACATCAATAACTGTCCTTGGGTAGAAGAATTAAAATATTCTTGAAATTTTCTAACAAGTCAGGGGAACAGTATAGCTTTAGAAGAAGAAAAGCTTAGCTGCCTTGTTTTGCTGTTTAAATTATCATGCTATATAAATAGAAACTGGAGTAGCTTAAACTGCTCAAATTGTTTTTCATTTCTTTTTGTGCTGTTGTTATTTTATTCTTATGTTCAGATACCAAGGTATAAAGGACTTCGTAAGCAGGAAAAGTGCTTGGACAAGGCTGGTGAGCAGGTAAAATGCCCAAGAGAAGGCACTCAGGTGTCTTTAATTTTTTCTTTTAGGAAAAAAAGCTTATACTACAACTTAAAAAAAATGCCATACAATGGACTTGATGCATACACTAAAATATAACTAGTGCTATGCTATGTAGCTATAGAAGTAACACCTTAAGGCACCATACATAAATTATTGTAAATGTTTAAAAGAGCTTGCTGAAATCATTACTAAAAGATGAGGATATTCATGTTGGTCTTGGTCACTTAATCGTTAACTAATGTAGCTGGAGAGGATAAGAGCCAAGAGTATAATTTTAGCTTTGAATTTCCCAGGGCTTTTTCTAAATATATTAATTTGTACACTTTCCACAAACTAATCTGTGAATCCACTACCCTCTCCTTTAAAGATTCCTTGTACGCAATGTGAAAAGGAGTAACTGGGTGACAATAGAAAATTTTATAATTTTTATTATTTTTTTAATTGAACCACTTGAGACCTGTTAAGAATGTCTTTATGGCTGTTTTCTCATGATTCCTCATAGGTTAATGCAATAGACAGTATTTTGCCTGAAGTGATAGACAGATTCTGCTGTGGTGTTCTAGGAAGTGAAGTATTAGACTTACCTTATAATTAGCCCCAAGAATTTCAGTGAACTATCACGGTTATCAATATAAAGAAGTAGATCATGTATAGCATTTTTATAGGATGAAAGAACACAAATGTGTTTAGAATAAAATACCACTGTATACCTTGCCTTTCTTGCATATCATTCTCAGTTTCAAATTTTAATCTGTCAAATTTTTAGGATAGTTAATTTGTGGGGGGGAGAGCTGTTCAGGATTAAAATAAATATGCATGCTAAAGCCATGCCTACTAGATATCTTCTCATCTGTACCTCAAGTAATTGTAAAACAATGAGGTTTTCAGTTGCATGTTGAAATTCCCTACAAACAGGTATTCTGGAATAGCGGTGTCACTATGGGCAAGATTAGCTCCATAATTTAATTTCAAGAGGAATGTTGGAAATCCATTTAAGTTCCTTCAGAGATCATTCTTCATGAATGTGGGCTGTGAATAAAAGTATATCTTCTGACATATTTTGAGATGTTTCTAAGAGGAGGAAGTAGGGGAAAAATGAGGTACAGGAAGCATGTAAAGAATTACTGTAGGAATTACCAATTCCTTTGGCTACATTTACCATATTTTATTGAATAAGATGAGTTTTGTTTTGTTTTGCTTCCCCCACCATAATCAGCATGGGGGAGGGGGAAAGCTCCTCTTATTCACATGCAGCAAACCACCCCTTTAAATGTATTGGCTATCATCAAATTGGTGCTAGAAGCAGTATGTGCTCAGTCATGGAAACCAACTAATGAAGTTAAGGGAATGCAGTCCATGCTAAGCATACCTATAACACATGGCCTATATTGATCAAACATACTGATGGGAACTGTTTTTGTGTGGCCCTTAAAATAACAAAACCAAAAAGAAAGGTAGTTGCTCCCCCCAGGAGGGAATGAGCACAGGGCAACACTCAGAGGTTGGAGAAAGCTCTAACATCCTCCTCTAATGCCAGACATGCTGATGGGAACCTTTTTGTTGTGTGTGTGGGGGGGCCTTTTTAAAAATGGGCAGGTGTTCCCTCTGCAGGAACCTGGCACTGGGCCTGTACCAGAAGGGCCCAAGCCAGCCTTGACACCCTTCCCTAAAAATAAAATGCTACATTTGGTAACTGAAAAGGCCTGAAATGTTGATGGGAGCCTACCACAAAGATAGGTTAGTGCAGTTTATCTGAAAAAGATGGTGCCCATTGTGCTTACTCCCCCTCGGTACTAACTCTTTCAGGTCATTGTGAGCTACTGCATTGAGTACATTTAGACTTCCTCACTACTCCCACAGCTGAGCTGTGCCTTTCTTTCTCACTTCCAAAGTTTCCTGTTTCTTCACCATCTTTAAATGTCTAGTAGACATCATCAAACTTCTGTGTAGCTGAGTAGCTCTGCTTCCCCCCTCTCTGCATGTCACGTGATTTAGTGTGGCTTCTCTGTGGGGTGGAGATGAACCAGGCAGCCCTGTGCCTCATCTGCATATAATTTTTTGGGAGGTCCCATGATTGGAACCAGGTGCTCTTGTTGCAGCCTGTGAGTGTAGGGCTAATTAGCATGTGGATCCTTTGGAGGGTATCTAGAATACACACACATACTAAGCAGTGCTGAGCTGTGGGGTCACCATGGCTTGAAACATTTTTTGGCTCTACTGGGGCCCAGCCTGATTAACTAAATGGTAAATCCTGAGCCTTTTGTCTCTGGACTAATATCATGCACAGTTTGTACTATGTATAAGTAGGTACAAAAGTGGTGCTTAGAAGTGTATTTATGGAATACCTGTGCTGAAGTTGCAGCTGTCGGGGTTGAGGCCAGCTCTTACATAGAATCTAATGATGAGGGGCACCCATCTTGTTGTTCAGTGTTGTGTTGTATTCTAAACTTTTATGATTTTCAAGGCCCAGGAATATTAGACTTGACTTATTTGGAATTTTTAAAAAAAAAAATGGAGTGTAATTTACTAGAAATGGGTCTGCATGTAGTTTAGGTAAAGAGTGTCAAATATACGGTCTGTGGGTTGGATTCAGCCTGTGGAGCTGTTGTTTGATTCTTAGAAGCTGGGAATTTGGGGGTAGAGCTTGCTGCTGAAATTGGGATATGGAGCTTTGCTAGGGATGATGTTGGTGGCAAGGGACATGTTAAGGTTTTAACCCTGGTGCCTCCCTGAAACTGCTTGCCTTGCTGCTGAAGGTGGGTCCAGATGTGGCCCCTGAGAACCCCTGCAAGTCAAGATATGGCTCTGGGAGCCAAACCAATTTGATGCCCCTGATTTAGATAGTGGTAGATTAAAATTTATTGGGGCCCTGGGCAAACAGAAAATTGGAGGCCTCCTACATCCCATTATAAACATGAATGCGTCAAAAAGCATTAATAAATAAATGCATGAAATGTTTAGTGTTCATTAATAAATAAAGCCCAACATGTGATATTGAAATTAACCACTCAATTTTGCCAGGCACAAAACTCTATAAAACTGCCTTAGGAAAATTACTCTCATGTGTGAAATTGCCATAAATATATAATAATACAAAAGGAATAATGTTTTAGTTTAGTGGTCATGTAGACTTTTTTTGTTTGACTTTTGTATTTAAAAAAAAAAATGTACCTACATTATGGTAAACTACTTCAATACAAATACAGGCCATGTTTATTACGGGCGTACCGATAAAGGTTTTCTTGGCCAATACCAATAGTTGGTTATTAACTGACCATATCAGCCAATGCTGATCTGATAACTGATATTTAGTAATAATGCAAGTAATTTTAAACTACTGACAAACCTTTTTTGGGGGGGCATGCTCCAACAGCTGCCTGCAGCACATTATCAGGATCCCAATGTTTAAACATGGCGGCAGGGGTGCTTGAACTAGAGCTTATCAAGTGAGATTTAGTTTGTGCTGCCACCACCATTTTTAAGCTCAGGGACACCAATACATGAGACACTGTGTAGCACTTCAATTAGAGCTGCTCTCAGAGCTACTCTAATTTAAGCATTATTTACCCCCACCCTGGAGCACGCACAAAGGTGCCAAGGGGCAGCTGTCTGAGCCTGCCCAGCAGGGCTGATGGTGGGAGGAAAGTATGAGCCTTTGTGGCTGCCCAGGGCTGGATGGTCTCTGGGCCACAACTCCCTTAAAACTGGGCCCCAGCTCCTGGGAGCTAGACTCCAGCAGGGGAGGAGGTCTTCCCCTCTTGGTGCTGGTGCTGCTGCTGCTGCCAAGCCTGGGCAGCGTGGGCCTCCCTATTCCACGGAGGAGGCTGAATGGACTTGACTGGGCTGAGGGTGGCGTGGCATGTGCCCGCCTCTCCTCCCTGTTCCCTGCCCCTGCCTCCCCCTGCTACAGCCGAAGCAGGGCAGGGGCAGATATGGTCTGTCCGCTGTGGGCTCACGTCTCTTCATCCTTTGCCCCAAGGGCCCCGTACCACGCATATGCTCCTGACTGCCTGGCAGCCGGAGGCACAACTCACTGCCCCTACTGCTGTCAGGTGGGCAGGAAGTGCATGGCTTGCACAGGTCTCCCAAGGGAAAGTTGGAAAGGCAGCAGAGCAGAGAGCCCCAAGCCCACAGTGAGCAGCCCGCATTCATCCCATGCACAGATTCTCACAAGAGGGCTGAGGGGGACCTGGTGACCATCTATAAACTCACTAGGGGGGACCAGAAGGGTTTGGGAGAGACCTTGTTTCCCCTAGCACCCCCTGGCATAACAAGAAATAACGGCCACAAGTTGTTGGAGAGTAAGTTTAGATTAGACATCCGCAATGGTTAGGGCGGCTAGGATCTGGAACCAACTTCCAAGGGAAGTGGTGCTGGCTCCTACCCTGGGGGTCTTTAAGAGGAGGCTTGATGCTTACCTAGCTGGAGTCATTTGAGCCCAGTTTTGTTTTTTGTTTTTTTGTTTTTGTTTTTGTTTTTTCTCCTGCCCTGGCAG